GGGGCATTTAACAAAGTCTACACTGACGGTGCCGGTTTGGGGTGTCTTGAAACTTAAGCTGAGTAAAATGTTGCAACTTAATATTTTCATTGTCTTCAGATCTTTTCTTTTTTGTTCTGTTGCAGGCTGCCATCGCTCTGGTCGCTGTCTTCAGCGGGGTCTTCCAATTTTGTTCTCATGCTCTACATCTACCCTGTAGATCCGAATTTGTTTGAATTGAGGGGACAAATTCGGTTCTAGAGAGGTTTGTGTGGGGTATACATTCCATCGTGGGAATCGTCGCGTAGTTGTACAGGCTGGCTGTCAAGTCCCGTTGGAGCGGATGAGCCCGCACGCAGGCGTGCGCGCGGGTTTGCCTATCGTCACTTACCTTACGGCCCCGAGCCGATAATAGGCAACATTTGCTTGAACGGGGCTGACCGTCTACCCAGGTGGAACACAGTTGAGCAAAATGAAGTCATTTTGACATCATTTTTGACAAACATGTTCCCCCTGGGTACCTCCCTCGTAAGTACTCTGTGCTGCCTGTGTTCTCTGTCACTGTATAATAATAAAAACAAAAAAAAGGATCTCAGACAAGTTCTCCGATGAAGTCTCATCATTTTCCCTTATTACACCTGCTAAGCAACTCTCGAGTTGAGCAATAATTTACTATTTTCTCGTGAGCGCTGGCGTCAGACAGTTGAGATAGGTGTTCTTCAAAGTCACTACAAGTAAGTAGCAAAAGGATTAGACCAGTCAGCGGAGATATAGTGAGTTAAATTTCATAGAAAATGAAAGTTTCCGCTAAATAATCAAAGATGAAATTGGGAAATCTAGGTACTGTACAGCGTACAGCGTAGTACAGCGGCTAGATTTCATTGCAGAGAGGAATCAGAAATGATAGGGTCTAAACAGAATTCCGGCTGGACGATCCTGTTTTTGTTTTTTTTTGAAACTGTCGTACTTTACATTACACATGACGAGGATGGCTGATCGGGGGGTCGCTGGAGCGGGCGAGTGGCTGGATATACACCACGCGCCGGGCCCTCTGAGGCAGGAGTATCGCCGCGAGCGGACGGCGAGCTCCCGTAGTCGGGGAGTAGGTCTGGGCCTCAGTCATCCAATAGAGGGTGCGGCAATCGGCTCTCCAGACAAAGGAGTAAACTTTTACAGGAAAGGAGGGGGGTGGGGGGGGGGCTCAAATGGTCCACCTTCAAATGAGCGGGGTTAAATTGGCTGGTTTCTGGTTTGTGATTCCGTGAGCCATTTTAGTAGGTGACGCGCAGACAGATACACTGTAGCAAGTGTGTATATAATAATGCTGCACACCTGCAGGTGAACAAATAAATTCACACGACAACGTATTTACACTGTCAAACGTGAGCGTATGACAGTTCACACTGATTGACACTTCTTGCAAATATATGCTCATTTGCCTCGTCATTTGCTCACCTAAGAAAATGAATAAGAATTCGATTAACTTCAATAGCGCGTCACACACACCGGAAACGCTAGTGTGTGAATGTCGCACACTTGTGGGAGTTTGGACGCGATTCGTACTTACACACAGAGGCACAAGTCTGCGAATTCCAAAGGAAAACTCACACCTTCACTTGCTTGGGTGTACGAATAGGCATTCACACACATTCAAGTGTGCGCCATTCACACACTTGCGTTTTCAGTACACGCACTGTATAGGCGTGTGAATTTCCACTCACACAAATTTGCGAAACGTATCAGGGAACAGTCACAGCTTTGTACAAGTGTGCTGAAAGGCGAGGGAGTGACACTCTTGGGACAGAGCAACTTTTTGAATCCAATTTAGTGACTCCTGGCAGAGAGACATTTATAATAGTAACTCGTTAAGCGTCGTTTTGGCGACATTTTCAATTGCGAACATCAATCATTTTGAGTGATTTGCATGAACATTGCACTGATAGAGCGACGCATGATTTCATCGCTCTATTCGAGCAAAAAATAAAAAATGACTCCAACCTTGTGTGGATGAGGGACTTCACACAAGGCTTTCCAATATAGGCTGTATCACCTTAAGAGAAATAACAGATAACAGATAACAAATAACAGATGAGAGATCTATCTTATTCAGGTTTCTCTTGCTCTCTGTCGTTTCAAAAATATTTCAATGCACATATTTTGCAATGAATGCTACTTTAGTCGAATAAACCATGATCAAACAGCATAAATTACCTTCCTGAAATGGATCTGTTATGTGTTATTTCTCTTAAGGTGATACAGCCCTAGGATGACACATCCGTCGCGGTCACAGCTCTAATCGGCCCGGAAACGGAATCGTCGATAACAAACATGAGGGGGGGGGGGAATCACGCGACTTTTGAGGAAACATGATAGTTGCGCGAGGGGGCCACAACTCCGGCAATCTGGTGCACACTCACCCTGGCAATCTACGATAATCTTCGGCAATTTTTTGGCAAGCGGATCCAAAAGACATGCTTTCTGCCTACATTCAGGGTGCAAGTAGTGACCTCCCCACCCCCACCCCCCTCTTGCGTTCCCGCTAAATCGTTTTGGCTAAATACTTACTGGTGTGGTTCAAAACATTGAGGGCAAGTTTTAGAAATTTCGAGGGGGAAGAGGAGAGCGAAATAGAGAGATCGAGGGTGTTTGTTGGGGAGGAAGAGAGGCGGCAAGTCGAGATGGGATAGACAGACAGTTGCGCGGGGGTAGGGGGTGGGGGGTGATTAATGATATTTGTCCGTGCAGAACCCCGCGTCCTGCCGTCCGTCCTTAGCAACAAAACAAGGAAAAGTAGGCCCCTTAGCGCTGTGATATGGGCCAGAGCGCGCCAGAGCGCTCTGACGAGACAGGGAGCCGAATGCGCCGAACAGAAGAGACTTTCTCAAAGACTTTCTGGGAATGCGTGCGGGAGGGATGGGCAAAAACCACGTGTGATAATCGGGCAATATCGCTGTAGGTTGTTTTTTTACCCGCACAATTATGAGTGGTTTACGGTGGACTTTCAGTTCAGATGGATTAAATTTTGAGCATGCATTACCCAGCTGCTGCTTGGTGCATTATGAGAAACCGAAGAAGTTAATTTACTCCTATGTTTAATGACAAAAGGAATCCCATCGGCATATGAACCATAACTAAATTTTAAGAAATTCGAACCAGAATCAATTTTTTAAAACAATTTACACATGTTTGAGAAACGCTTTGAGTGTGTGGTTTCTGCACACTCATCAGGAGACTATTTATATCTAGAGACAAAATTAAAGCTGAGGCATTTAACGAAATTTTCGTTGGAAGAAAGCATCTTTACTCCAGCTCAACGAAATCTTTAAAAATTTATTCGTTCGCTCAAATACATTTTTTCGCCATCCTGACGAAAACAGTTGACCTTAGATGCTGATTCTAAGTCCATTTAGTCCACTACGTTTACATCGTCCTCATCCTCAAGGTCCACTACGTTTACTTCGTCGGCAAGGTCCACCACATGCACTTTGTCTACTACGTCCACTACGTTTACTTCATCCGCAAGGTCCACTACGTTCCCTTTGTCCACAAGATCCACTGCGTTTACTTCATCCGCAAGGCCCACTACGTTCCCTTTGTCCACAATATCCACTACATTTTCTTCGTCCGCAATGTCCGCTACAGTCACTTTGTCCAGAAGGTCGGCTACGTTAACCTCGCCCGCAAAGTCAAGTACACCCGCAGCGCTGCCACACTCGTCCTCGTCGACGTCGATCTGCTCCTGGAGACAGTACAGGAGGTGCTTGGTGAGGTAGACCCTGAGCGAGAACGTCCTCTGGCAGATCGGGCAGGGGGCGAGCAGGGCGGACGCGGGGCCGTGCCGCGGGACGCCCATCTTGCGCATGTGAGTCTGCAGGTGCGCGCGCAGGTTGGCGCGGTCGGCGAACTTCTTGCCGCAGTGCGCGCACACGTAGGACCTCTCGTTGGTGTGCGAGCGCAAGTGGCACTTGACGCTCCACAGCCGCGAGAAGAGCCTGCCGCACACGCCGCAGGCGTGCCGCGGCCGGTGCGTGAGCATGTGCATCTGCAGCGCGGACGCGCTCAGGTACAGCTTGCCGCACAGGGAGCAGCGCTCGCCGCCGCCCTCCGCGGCCAGGCGGTGCATGCGCCGGTGCCGGCTCAGGTTGCTGCTCGTGACGAAGCGCCTGCCGCAGTCGGCGCACGGGTGGAGCTTCCTGGACAAGGGCCGCCCCTCGGGCTGCCCGAGCCGGCCCCGGCTGCGCCCGTCCATGCTCAGGATCGTGAAGTACGAGTACACCTGCTCGGCCGCCAGGGTCTCGGGCGGCATGACGACGTTCAGCTTGGCGTCTTCCTCCGCCGTGTCGTCCGCCGGCTTGGGGGAGGGCGGGCGCCCGCCCTCTGGGGGCGCGCTGAGGACCTCCATATCACCTCAAAGAGTGCTCTGTTGGCTCCGACCAGCCGCAGCCTACGTACTTACTCCAAACATTGAGCGGCTCACGGCGACACCTGCCGAAATGCAATGGGGCATGACACGGTTTGTTTGAAACACTAGCACGCAAGTACAGCAACTCACGTTTTGATGCCAAAAGGTCCCTTTAGATTGACTTTACGATAACTGTCTCTCTGTATCAATTTCTAGCTTCTCTCAGAAAGGTTCCTTTATTTCCCGTTGCAAGTTCATGCTGAGCAAACCGGTGTCAACATCTTGAACCCCTTGCGAAGCGGTGGCCACCCCCATTCCGCATTCTTAGGTCGCCGCGACCCACGCTGCTCGACCGGCATCCTGTGGCCCACCCCTTCGGAAGGAAAGTGAAAATGTTGACACCGGTTTTCTCAGTATGCATGTTGAAACGGAAGAAAAAAGAAACCATCCCTGAAATTTTCAGGCGTGCAGGCGCGCAATGACTTCAACCCTAGAGGTCGAAACTAGCCTATTTCCAAATGAGGGATGGGATTTCCAAGGGGCTAGTTGGTCCGGGGTTGGTCCGATTCGAACAAAACAATTATGAGCCACGTGATTTTATTTTGAACACGAATCAGGGCGGATTACACACTGGATCTTATGGACAGCTATACAAGTTGTTCCAAAGACCCTGTACTTCAATTTGCTTTTTACTGTACCGCATGCAGACGTGCGGGTGGGCTTGCCTACCGTCGCTCACCTTGGCGCCTTATGGCGCCTGTTGAATAGGCAACCCGCCCACACGCGTGAATGCGCGGTACAGCATAAGCATCCCCAGTAGCGCCAACCGCATTAAATGCGCTCAATGCGCATTGAAATGCACATTAAAGGTCACACCTTGGTGACGCATTAACTGCGCATTACAGCATTTAATACGCATTTAGTGCGCATTACGCGCATTTAATGCGTCAACAATGTGTGACCTTTAATGTGCATTTCAATGCGCATTGAAGCGCATTAATGCAGTGGCGCTTCTGGGGATACCAAGTCCGGGTTTATGGGGCGCCCAGTATACAGCATTTCAGCTATTTCAGCCCTTACAGACCAATTTGTGCTCCGATGGGATTCGCTCGGATACAGGGATCAGTCGCTCACTCAGCCCACTCGGCTCTGGTGGGTCGGGGAGCCAGTCCGTCTGTGAGTCCCTATCCGGTTGCAGTGCAACAGTACAACATGGCGCCCGCCTTAACCTCCTGGACTGAATCACTGAACAAAGTCTGGTCTTTGAAACACTTTTCTTCGAGGCTACGTTTTTCACGCAAATAGTATGCGCAAGTGTGGGAAATTTTTATTGCTTCTGGGAACCACAAATACCTTGCTGATAATAATAATACAGCAACATTCTGAAAGGACTTTATCATATGATCCTCGGAACTTAGAAATGATTCACACTTTTCAGGTAAGTTTCTATCATCAATGCTGATATTTCTATCATAATTAATGGCGGTTAGAATTAGCTGACAAGGTGCTTGGATTGTTTATAAAAAGATTTAGCTGAAACAATTTACTAACCTCAAGTTTATGAATTTTCATTCTCTGTGAAAATCATATTCTGAACACCCATCAGGAAACGGTTTAAGACTAGGCAAAGAATAGGAACTTCACATTTCAGGGACACCCATTCGATGAGTTCCCAAACAAATTATTTTAAGAAACAATGTCACTTTCAAAATGGTCTGTTTGTTTGTTTCGAAGCAAACGAAGCAACATGTTGCCCGTAGATCGATCTTTTGTAGTGTACTGTATGATTTTTCATAAGTGGAGTTGAGGCTGGATCGATGGGAGCTAAGAGTTCAATCTGAATCTATCCAGTCGGTAGCAGAAGATGCAAAGCGCAGCATAGGGTATCAATATTATTGGTTTTTAATAAACTTAACTGATACTTAAATCACCGTGCATAGCTTATACTTTAACACCGTGCATAGCTTAAAGATAGACCACAACAGAACTTTGCACAGAAATCACAATGTCAGTCGATGTTCACACAGTTTTTCATGTTTTGAGTTGTCAACAAACAGAGAACCCAGCCTCCTGTATTATTGTATTGAATGATTTTATATGCAGCAATATATTTTCACCTCACTATCGCTGAAAGTAATTTGCTGATTTTTTGATGATTTGTTCTGAGCTATTGTCCTATTCTCATTTCCATCTCTAGAATATTCTGCTGTGCGAGATAAGCATAACATTAACGGGGTTGTTCGACTAGGTCTCAAATAATAGAAACAGTACAAAACACGCTTAAAGGAAGCTGTCTCTTTTAAAATACATATCATGGGTAATGCAATTCACAATGGTTATTGATGTGTGTTACTTACAAACCTTAAACACTTCTAAAACCAGAGATTTGCAATAATTTTTGAGAAGCTGCAGCGAAACTCACTTTTAAGTTTAAAGCCAAGAGGCAAGGTCACATATTTCAGAGAAGGCTTCATCATGTTGTAGATGTAATGTGTTCATTTTCTTAAAATTTATTTTATTGACAGCATCATGCTACCCAGTGAGCAATGCAATATCAGACCAATATCAAAACGACGTCAGACATCAGATATTTGTCCGTTTTTGCATCAGATTGATAAAAATGTGGTCCTGAAATTGACACGTTTCTGATAACTGATATCGTTCTGACATCAGTCTGACATTTCATTGCTCAACGGGTAAAAGATGGATTTGTGGACCTTGTTAAAATCAATCTTCATGAATTGAAGTTCATTGGAGACAAATGATATTAAAGACCTTATCAAAAAATGTAATGTTGGCCATGTCATAGCTCAAATACGTCAGAGACTCGTTCTGTGGACCCTTGTGGCAATCCTCACCTTTGGTTTGAAAGTTTTCATTTTAAATTTGAGTTACATGAATAGCTTGTGCATAATGTCCAGGAACGGAATAAATGAAAATAAAACTCTTTGTATGAAGTTTATCATAATTTGTGAAAAATTATTTCACGAATTTGTCAAATACCAATTTTGCATTTAGCAAACCCAGGCTACATTAGTAATAGCAAAATATGCCAAAAATGCTCTTAAGATCAATGACCTACATTTTTACAATAAACTACAGCAAATAGATTTTAGTTTAGCATTTTTGAAGCCATGAAAGGCAAAGCCTGAATACAAATGTAATATTTGCAATAGAATATAAAACAGGTTCTCTAAATTTTTCCAAAACTATTTGATATTCTATTGCAAATATTACATATGTATTTAAGGCTTTTCATTTCATGATCTCAAAAATGTTAAACTAAAATCTATTTGATGTGCTTTTAGTAGTTTGCAAATGTAGTTTCTTGTATAAATGTAGGTCATTGATTGTAGGTGCATTTCTGGCAATGAACCTCTCTTTTTTGAGAAAAGTGACCTGTGAAATTGGTTTGCTTGGTTCTATCTGTATAGTTATTTGAAGTCTTCCGAAAAAATAATTAGAGAAGCGGCTGTAGGTCTGTCAAAGGCAATTGTTCTCAAGAAATAAAAAATGAGATAAAGATTGAATAAATAAATATTGAATCCATCTGGTCTTTAATAAAGCATAAAATTGTGACATGAAGATGCTGAATGCATCATCACTTGAGGTAATGTTCTGCAATGCTATTCAAACTGGTTAAACAAGATGTGTATTTTGCTTTGCTGTTTGTCAGAGCAGTCAGTATTCTGTACATATACGAGAACTCTTCAATTCTCATCTCACTGTAAAACTTAAAAGTTTTACTAGATCTTATATAAACTGCGTAGCCTATCTTGTAGCACAAAACAATCTGAGAACGTTCTCAGAACATTCTTTTCCTCTCAGAACATTCCTTCACTGGTAAAACAAGTGTGCAAAATTTGCACACCATCGTGTGAAGGTCATGATGTTAAACATTACATGGTGTCTTACTGAAGTTGCACTCTAGTGTGCTGTGCAAAGTTGAGACATTTTTTAAACGTCTAAATTCTGCATACTAGGACACACACAGTTCAAAGCTATCAATAGGAAGCATATGGCATGCAGCTGCTATACTTTTGGAGGTGTCAAAAGTTTAAACACCAATTGACGTGTAACCTAGTTAAACACCACATTCTGTCTAGAAAGTGCAAACTTGAACTTAAATATCAATTGACGTGCAAAATTAAGCACTTGCCCTACCAGTGTTTGGTTCTTTTAATGTTTAAAGAATATTTTGATAACATTACTTCCTACCAGGGCTAGCTTGCTTGTTCACAGAATGTAATCTTTTAGTTTTGCAGTTTAAATTACAAAATGTTTTAGTTCTTCAGTTTAAACTGTCACCATGTCATGTCACAGTGTCTGATTTGCAGAGCAGAGAAGTCAACATGAAAATTTTCCCCTAAAAATATTAGCTTTAGTAAATAAACCAGAAAGAAGGTGGTTGCTGTGGTTGTGGGGGGTGGGTGCGTACATCAGTTCAGCCTCCATACGTGCCATACAGATGTCATGTTTCACATCAATACATTTGTATAAAATTAAATCGCAACTTTGCCTTTTACCTTGTGAACAAAATCTTTGTCAAATTTAGACGTCGTTTTCCACCTTTTTAAACTTCAAGCATTGGAAGCTAACCTAGGACAAGCGTGCTCGCGCGCACCGCGGCCGGCTTGTCACTATGTAGAGGCAGAACCTGCGAGGCAAGTTCAACGGTAGCGCCTGTCACGCGCTGGGTAGGCCAACCCGCCAAGCAGCTGTGTGAGGCCGGCGGCCCGCCCTGAACCCCCAAGTACAGTGCGAGCGAGAGCGCAGGGGCACGGGACCGTTTGGCGCCCAGCCTCTCGCCACCCCGCCGACCGTTTCTCGTGGAAGCACCCCTCCGGCACCCCTCAGACGTAAGCCGGAGCTGATTCTAACGCCCATTTCAGGACTCTGCGCCACAACGTCACGCCACACGTGTTTCCCGTTCGGCCGAGTATGAATAACACACGAGGCCTGGTGTGATAGAGAACTTCCCGCTGTTCTAATCTTTCGCCTGGCTACTCTCCCTCCCCCTCCCCTCCCCGCGATATCACGGGCAAGGCAAAGGGGACTTGGCTTTGAGTCATCGAGGGCCCCATCACAGCGCTGACGTGTCAGAGCGCACGTTTCAGTGGCGGAGAACGCTGACAGTCGTCAGTCGTGTGCGGCCACGCGCAGGCCGACACCCTCCCGAGCTGTGCGGGGGGCTCTTAGGAACAGCGAAGTGAACGTGAGGGTGAACGCGGTGACGAAGTAAACGCAGCGCCGGTGGAACGCGCCATAGGGACTGTCATGGGCGGCCCAGTCGTTCACCGCGCTCGCTCGTTCACCCGCGGTCACGGCTCCGCTGTATCGTTCGCTCGTTTCGTTTCCTAAGACCCTCCCCTGGCCGGACACTCCGCCGTCCGCAGCTGTGTAGTCGCAGCAGCATCCGCAGCACACTGGCAGCTGCAGCTGTGCCAGAAGGAGATTTGCACGCGCAGTACAACAAGCTGGCCGCTGCTGACCGCTGCTGACCGCTGCTCTCGTCGTCGCCGCGTGCCCGGGTCAGGTATGATCTGACCACTCTCCCGGCCACGCGGCGACGGCGAGCGGCCGCATACGTCGCTGACGACACGGCGCTTACGACGGTCGCACTCTGCAGCTGGTCCGTCGCAGTGCCGCTCTTTTTGGTCAGTACATAACTTACACTGACTATAGTGCCAAGGGTCACTGTTAAAAATCTTCGGTTCGTCGTTACGTTTGCAAGTTACGAAGAAAAATGGACGCAAATTAATTGCTTTGTAATTTACGGAGCAACCACCTCGTGCCTGTAAACCCAACAGACGACCATGCACACACAAGGAACAGCGTGCATGCAGGCACGCACAAGAAAGTGTGTCTGTGTAATGCCTGCCATGCACACACATTCGACATAGCAGATGGGTTCCAGTTTATCTGCGCTGATAGTATACGTCGCATCGCATCGCCCCCATCGACTTGCAAACATGCTCTCTTTTTTAAAAATAATTAGCAGACGCAATTACGTGCAAACTTTGTCATTTGAAATTTAGGAATGTAGAAATTGTGTTAATAAATTTTATGCCCGTGCATACATAAATTAATCCATAGATGGTTGAGGGTGTGGTGCCTCCTCTCCCCTCTTTGCGGGGTAGTTGTCTGAGGATGCCGGTAAGGGGCGCGAGAGACTGACAGTGGGGGATCTTAATTCTTCCAGCCTCGCTGGTCCAATCTCAATCAAATCGGGGGCGGGGCGGCGGCGCTCCCTGCCGCGGCACGCAGCTCTGCAGGGCTATCTCTGCACCCGTGACAGACAGCTTGACAGGCGGCGAACAGCGGCAGCAGCCGTGGCTGCGCCCTGCCACACTCCTCAACGCCACGCCACGCCACGCCGCAGGCAAACTGTGGCGCCAGACCGCGGTCCCCAGAATGCGATGTGATTTTCTATCCCCATAGTTGACAGCCAAATGTTTATGCCAAAAATGACCAAATTATTCTGTGGTGATTAACTGTTGAACTTTTTTTTTTTTAACGGTGTGTGTGGAAGTGGATTCGTAAACATCACGCCTGGGAATAAAACAGACAGTAGGCGACTAGCGTTAAAGCAAATTTTCTAAGTGCATGCGACAAAATTGAGAAAACAGAGGCCAGAAGAGCACCCCTTTGAGATCCCGCGCTCTCCCTCCTCGGCGGGCCCGGTGTGCACGCGGCAGCAGGCTGCGCAGGGCGCCCGGAGGGTAGGCAGCCCAACCAGCGCGCCCATCGGGTGGGCGGCGAGCG